ATGTTAAATGCTTTCAAATGGAAGAAAACAAGTTCCAGTACTTATTTTTATATTTTAATATTTTTACCCATTAGCATTATGATTATTATTCACAATTTTGTGTTTAAGTATTTGGAATAAAATTTTAAGATTTGAAAATAACAGGTGTCATTTGTATTGTTGCTATATTGTTTCATATTTTATTTTATTTGGGGATTCATACATGAATACTCTGTACTTGCATAATTTTCAATCTCACTTCCTCCTTTAATGTTTCCTACATATTTCAATTGTCTCCTTCAAATATATAATTTTTTGTGTCTTTATTTTTGTTTTTATAAGTATACATAGTTTTTTATGTATAAAAGTTTTGTTTTATATATCTAAAACAAAATAAAGATACATAAATTTATATAAATATCTATATCCACACACATATGTATACATGTACACATACATACAACCTACTGAATATAATTAGTGTTTCCCTTATTTTCATGTGTTTAAGGCTGAGAATATAGGACCAAGGTCTTATCCCTGAAGCAACAACAACAAAAAACCCACCACCACTGCCACCACCACCACCACCACCTTAAAACAAAACCACATAGAACTGTTTCTATCTCCTTCAGCAGCCACTGACTGCCTGTTGCTCATGTGTGGGGAACAGAACTTTGAGATTTTCTTTCATCTTTGTTAATGTGTTGATTGGTGTGATCTTTGCAGGACTCGTGTGGGCCGTCATGTTACTGAGAGGCCTGGGAGAATCATCTCTGTCCTGTCCAGAAGAAGCCCTCATGTAGCAGTTGTTCTGGTTCACAGGCACCTAGAATCTTTCCATTTCCTTTTCTGAGATTTCCCCTGAGATTTAGGTTTCAGGGTTGTGTTGTAGATGTCCCATTCATGGGCTAGGCACCCCAAGGTCACTCATTCTCTGCATTTGGTCAGTTAAAGATATCTCTAATAGTTTCTGTCTGCTACAGAAAGAAGCTTTTTGATGTGGAGTGAAAGTTGAAGTGATCTATGGGTCTAAGGGTGGACCTTTAGAGGGCAATTGGAAACTATATTACTTTTGTAATATTGTGACAGTAGATCCTCTTCTAGGCTTAATGACAACTCTAAACATGGGCTTCTGGCTGGGTTTACAGTATCAGGCCCGAGTGTCCACCAACTGAGAGGGCATTAGATCCAATTAGACAACTGTCAGTTTCCCCTAAGTTCTACCATTGCATAGTTGGGGTATCTTGCTGGTTACCATCATTGTTGAGGCTTTACAGCTATATAAGACTGTTGGTAACTTTTCTCCTTTGGTAGTGTATCAGCCTCTATTTTAAGTATTTATGGGTTGCTTCTTCTAAGCAGGGAATGTATGTTTGATACTGAGATATAGTGGCAAGTAGTTTAGTTTTGGTTTATAAGAAGCAAGATATTAAATCACCAATAAGACTAATGAGTGCTTGATAGTATACTCTAGTTGGTGTGGAGGAGGAAAATCAGTAGATGCGATTACAATAGATAGGTATAAAGTACATGTGGCAGTAGAATTTACATTGGGGTGTCCGAAAAAAGCACCTGGGAAGAAAAAGTTTTTAAGTGGAGACAGATTGAATGAAATTCTAGGGTTATATGCAGATTGAATGAGGGATGAAGTCAGGCCAGTTACCTAGAACAGACAACTGATGGGGGAAACTCGGGGAGGGAAGCACTCAGAGTGTTTAGGAATTTAAGAAAGACAAGTGGACCGTAGCAGACTGAGGAGGGGGCGTGGACTGCTGGCAAATCAGGCAGAGGCTTTATTGTGCAGGACCCAGTGGACATACCCTGTGTGTGAAAGGAAACCGCCGAAGAGTCTGAGGTGATCACATGATGTAGTCAATCTAAACCATGCTGAAACCAGGCACACGGGGATGCTCCTGCAAAGTATTAAGCTCAAAGGACTCTGTCCAGGTACGAGAGAGGTTATGTGTGTACATTTAAAGGAACTGGAGACAAGTTTACCTGTCCCCTCTTGCTCCAGTGGTACATTGTCTACAAATTACTGTCTCACTCTCTCGGACAACTGTGCCCAGTCTGCGTGGGAAGAGATAAAGCAGGGTTAGTAGTACTCAAAAGTCTCTTATTTTCATGAAGTTGCTTCTTCCCCTGTTTTCTCCTCTTCTGTCCCATGGACATTTTCTTTCTACTTTCATTGCTTTTTATCCTCTCCTGATGATAACAATGCATTTCTGACTAAAAAACAAACAAACAAACAAACAAAAAACAAAACACAAAACACAAAACAAAACAAAACAAAAACCAATTTATTTCAGCCTGGGGAGATAACTTGATTGTTAGCTCTTTGCATGTAAGGCGTTCTGAGTTTGACTCCCAGAGCACACATGAAAAGACAGGCGGTGAAATCTTCTCTTAATAACTGTGCTGGTGAGGTGGACAAAGCAATTTCAGATGGCCTAATAAGTCTAACTTATTCGAACAGATCCAGGCCAGACAGAGACTCAGTCACAAAAATCTGGTTGTCCTGTGGCCTCCACATGAACAAGTTCACACTCTCACACACTCATACACAAGAGTACACCCTCACACACGTGGATGCACACACAGAGAAACGTGTGTACAGAGACAGACAGATAGACACACGCACACTAACACAGGCACATATATGTATGCACACATATATCCTAATTTACTTGAAGGCCAAGATCTGTGTATTTCTATATTGAGGTCAGATCAAAGTCTAATGAATTGATCAGTTTCTATAACTGTCTTTCCACTTTTGTCTTTAAGAAGTTCATATTTTTTTGTTGTTGCAAATGATTTGGTCATTCTTTGCAACAAAGATCCCTCTTTCTCTTTTGAGGGGTCACTATATATTTTGTATATCACTTCAAATGGTATCGTCAACATTTTGAAAACATCTCTGCCACAGCAATTCTTCGGCAAAGGTTGATATCTATCTTATATTTGAGAAATTTTCATCCTATTTTGTAATTTTATCAGCATATATCAGGTTAGAAAAGAGTTAATACTGCATGGACAGCCTTTCCTGTGCAAGCAGCTCAAGTATATACAGATGTGGCTTTTATACCTTGCCCTCCCTGCCCTTGGCCTCTTTCTACAGTGAGACAGCAAATTCTCTAGAGACGAGTTTTATTGTTTTTTGCAGATCCCATGTGTAATGTGGATCTTGAAATTAAAAACGTTGTGTGTGTCCATATATGTGCATGGTTATGAGTGTGTAGAATCATATGCACATGTGTATGTGGAGGCCGGATTCAAATTCAAATATTGTTTCTCCTCAGGTGCCAGCCACTGTTTTTTTCTTTCTCCTTTTGAGAAAGGATGATGGACAACGATGGGACTCAAGCACATAGAAGATTCAGGGAAGAGGGGGATGGAATCAAAGAATCATTTTAAGCTTCAATGAGGGATTTGGTGATTTTTCATACAAGAAATTAAGCGTTTTCATTCATGCAATATGAACATTTTCTTTTTAACCATCACATATTTCTTGATATCATTCTTATACTATTTTGAAAGCTGTCCATGACCTACCACTAGATACCTTCTAAGAGTGAGAACCAATATCATTGCATAAGCTCATGTTCATGTTTCTTTTAAAATGATGATACAATTTTCAGGGCTGTACATTATTGGGCCTTGAGTGAAATTTAACTGTTTCCAGAGATGATAACAGTCTAATGGAGAAGAGGGACAAGAGTTGAGCAATTTCAAAGGGATGAACCATTGATTTGGACAGGATTGAAAGTGCACCCCCAAAGTGATTCATGCAAAAGCATATTGTTGGAACATGTTTTGACCCTTCTCAAGTGCATGTAGATAATTCACGAAAATGTACCACAGTATTGAATTCAGGACATTGGTCATAGGTGACTTAGAGTTTCTATTGCTGGGAAGAGACACTATGACCATGGCAACTCTTATAAAGAAAAACACTGAACTGAGGTTAGCTTATGACTCAGAAGGTTAGTCTGTTGTCATCATGGTAGGAAGCATGGCAGCATGCTGTCAGACATGGTGCTAGAGAAGGAACCAAGAGTTGTACATCTGGATTGGCAGGCAACAGGAGAAGAGAATGACATTGGACCTAGCTTGAGCATCTGAAACCTCAAAGCCCACCCCCAGTGGTACACTTCCTCCAACAAGGCCGCACCTATTCCATTAAGGCCACACTTCCTAACAGTGCCACTCCCTATGAGTTTATGGGGACCATTTTCATTAAAAACACCACAATAGGTGACAATGCTACTCGTGTTCTGTCTTCTATCAAGGATGGTCTTTGGGTTTTTCAGATACAGATTCTGGCTTAGGCCAGAATCAAACTCAGATTTACTAGCCTCTACTTCCCAAGTACTAGGATTACAGGCATGTGTCATCATTACTGGCTTGATATAGATTAGTGTGTGTGTGTGTGTGTGTGTGTGTGTGTATCCCAGTAACACAACATACACACACACACACACACACACACACACACACACACACACACACATATGATGTGGGATTCCCCTCTGTATGCTGTGAATACCAGTGGTGAATAAAGAAACTGCCTTGGCCTATCGATAGGGCAGAACATAGGTAGGCAGGGAAAACTAAACTGAATGCTGGGAGAAAGGAGGCAGAGTCAGGGAGAAGCCATGTAGTCTCACCGGAGACAGATGCCAGAACTTTGGCTGGCAAGCCACAGCCATGTGGCAATACACAAATTAATGGAGATGGGTTAAACTAGTATGTAACATGAGTTAGCCAATAAGAAGCTAGGGCTAACGGGCCAGGCAGTAATTTAATTAACACAGTTTTATGTGATTATTTTGGGGTTAAGCAGCAGGGAACTAACTAGCAACCTCCATTACAACATATATATTATTCTTTTCATGGGTATAATCCAAGGGGCTGACTGAAAGTTTATAAAGAGCAGAAATGTGGGATGTAGTTGATCTTGGTTTTAACTTTTTAAATCAACTATAGGCTACTTATACAAAACAATTTAATTCCTTTGTCCATTAGTTTATTTATTGGTATTTCGTTACTATTCAACATGTAGATTGTGACAAAATGACAAAAGAGTTCTGTGTACACTTTATCACTGCTATTCCGAATAAAATTTGATAACATTTCTCATTTAAGTAATTTTTGAATAAAATGTTAAAAAGTACACATTAAAAAGCTATATTTAACATTACATTAAAACTAGCACTTAACTCATATGAACAAAGCACATCAAGAGATTTTCAGTAAACAAAAATCAAAATACAATTTATATCGCTATTACGATTTAAAAAGTAGGTCTAAGAACCAGGCACCTGAATCTGAGGGGCTTTTGCTAAACTAATCAAACAACCTTCTAAGGAAGGATTTCTTGGCAGGAGTCAAGACTTTCCCAGAACCCTTTTTGTGGAGCGATTTCATTGGAGGTTTTTGTAAGGGCAGGCTTCTTTTGGGAGTGTGTAATGCTCTTGCTATCTGCACATGCTCATTGCAGTAATATTTGTTGCTTCCTTCTGACAAGTGGATGAGTGTGCGTTCTGCCAGATCCATGCACTGGGCATGTACCCAGTGCCCATCTCCATGAGAACAGTAGATCATGGCAGGTTTATTGAGCTCTGTTGAATAGAATGGAACCCAAGTATTGATGTCCACATCACAAGTAGGGCAGCATGTTATCCAGTAGCCGGTTACAGACTCGTCATCCTCATCATCCTCATTGTAGGTGTCAAATTCGTCATCACCATCAAAACTCGTTGCTTCTGCGCTGAAGCAAAATTCCTCTGAATCTTCAAAGGGAGTGGAGTCCCCGGGATCTTCTGTTGATGTCTGACTATTTGGGCAGGTTTTCTGCTCTTCACTCACGTCATCTTCAGAGCATTTCAGCATATAGAAATAGAATGCTTCTGTCATAGTCTGCTTATTGTCTCCTGGTAAGCCAAGGAAAACAGTCCCATTTCCCATGCTGCTTCCAAACCATATTTTGCTATGCTTAATATCTGGGGTCCAATCTGGGGTCTCCATTTCACTAATTTCTATTGTGTTATCCCCTAGAGAGACAATGTTGCAGACCATCCTTTTTTGATTTTCCAGCTGATAACCACCAACAATAACAAATTCATCATTATTTGTTTGAGTGAGAATTGCACTGGAGACAGAGATTCCTCCTGGCAAGACTGTGCAATTCACTGCTGGGCTACCCAGGGGAAGATCTACCCTTATTCTATACAGGCTGGCAGGACGAATGTTATTGGCAAGTGAATGTCCTCCCAAAATGTAAATAGTATCATTTCTGGCAACAGAAACATGAAAAGATAGCCCATCCTGAAGTTCTGGAAGAGTGTATGATGTAACACACCCAAATTCAAAATCTACCAAGAAAACATGGGGCAGGCAGTCAGCTACACTATTCCATTTTTCTGTGGTTCTCTGGGCAGAAGGCATGTATGACCGTCCTCCAAAGAGAACACCCATACTTTTCCCTCGACTATATACCACATTAATTGAATGACCATATCTGGCTTCGGGGACATCTCCTACTAAATCTTTCTCTGTGCAACGGAAAGTAACTTTTTTGTTGTTCTTGCAAGCAACAGACATGATATAAATCTTATCGGAAAGCTCATTGTTTGGTGTTTTCCCTCCGTGGATGATATATTGATGTTTTTCAGACTCTAAGCTGCCTTTGTAGGAGCAAATAGCTGGGTAACGAAGCGGTGGGAGGTAGCAGGAATCTTTAGAGAAAACCGCAGGTTTCAGTTTGAGATGATTTTTCTTAATATCAAAATGGAAGACTCCAGTAGGGCAGGATCTCTTGGGCCAGCCCTTTTGGCCAAAGAAGAAAACTTGACCATCAAAATTCATCAGTGAGAAGCCTGGTTGAATTAAGGCTATATTATGACCCACTGTTACCATCTGCAGTGACATTTTGATTGTGAGTAGGTCTTTTATCTGAAAGTATAAAACACAAAACTTAGAATATCTTTTTATATACATCATTATGTTTAGATGTCCTCACATGTAAAAGGTTTGTTTAAAAGAAAAGTCATTTGACATGCTTGTGCTAGAACTGTAAGTCCCCAAATAAGGAAGCGAAGAGCCCCAGACCTTTCCTACTTAATTCAAGTCTAGCAGCTGGGACATATTTTAGTGGCGCACTCTCTTCGCTTTGATTTCTGGGAACTGTAGTCCTTCTTTCCTAGAGCGCCTTTGCATGCGAGCTTACAGAACTACATTTCCCAAGAATCCGTTTTCTATAGTCTGTCTTCTTGTTGCTTCAGGACTGGAGCGGTCTAGGCTGATTGGAAAGGACTCCAAAAGTGCCAAGTGACTAGATGGGCGCCAAGGTGACAGACAGCTAGGGAACCGAGGTGAGAGTGCGCCCCTCTGCCGACAATGGGGCGCTGGACGCAAGAGTACCAGGAGGGGCGCCTGCAAACCGGTACTCAGGAATCGCTGCGGCTTCTGGGACTCTTAGTAGGGTGTCCCGGTTGGAGGCACAGATGCTTCTCGCCCAAGTGTGGTTGCCTGGAAACCACAGTCTGAGGGGAAACCACGGTTGAATCGTCTTTACTGACTCCACTCTGGATCTATTGAAGCGAGACCCAGAATTGCACTCTGAGGACTCGTCGCTTGCTGGGACAGGGAGTTAGGAAAGTTGACCGTCTTTCAGAACCGAAAGACGAGTCTTAGAATACCTAGCACGCAGGGGAGAAGCAGCTTGAAAATGATTTTATTATTATTATTTTTAAAATTTTCACTCTGCACTTACTAACGGAAGTGTAGTAATTAGGCAGTTACAAGGGACACTTTAGAAGACCCCCGCCCCCTTCCTGCTCAGCAACTTTCTTTCCTTCTTGTTTTGAGGAGTCTTTCAGCGAAACAGAGACAGTTCCTAAACTACATGCCCGCCCTCCCCATACCCCAACATCTAGGAAAATAGAATTGTCCTGTTTCAGATCATTTCGAGCCTACGAAAAGTGATATGATTCTTGAGTAATTTTATATTGACTACAAAAAGGCTCCTTTCTGTATTGTACTGCTGTTAAGAAACATTTATCAGATAAAGATAAGCTTGGGAAGTTTGTACCATTACCTACCTTAGAGAGAGGTGAAGTAGTACTCTTCCTGCTTGCAGACGTGAAACACTCTGTTTTGGCACTACATGTTGAAACAAAATAAGATTGACTTTTTTTTTTTTTTAGAGTAAGTTGTTTAAAAAGCAGAATAAAACAACAGTCAGGATTAGAATTCAGTGCTGTCAGCCTCGACTCAAATCCTGGTCATCACTTAGTAACTAAAAACCTGACTTTGTGCAAACTGTTTAACTCTCTGTGGCTCGATTTCTTCATCTGTAAAATGAGGTGGTTTTACCCACATAGGTTGATGTCAATTATGATTAGTAATTTAAGATTTGTAAAGGAGTAAGAACAGGGCTCAGACACAGTATTAGTTACCATTGTCCTTGAATTACCAGATAACACAGCAGCTGGTTGGGCACAGTTATCTGCTGATAATGGCGGCAGCTGGTTGGGCATAGTTATCTGCTGATAATGGCAGCACACGTGAATGGTGCTGGAGATGTCTAGAGGGGGCTATAGGATGTTGGGATTTGGTCAGTAGATGTAGACAGATGATTTTTTTTTCTTAAATTGAATTTAGTCTTTGACAGTTTCATACATGTATATAGTTCATTCTGATTTACTATCATTCTGCCCTCTTTTATGTCACTCCTGCCCCTGCCAACCTCCCCCGTCCTTCCTAAAAATCCTTTCCCCATATTTTCCACATTTATGTCTTTTTGTTTTGTGTCCCATTGAGTTTAACCAGAGACATCTGAGTGACCATGGGTTTGGAATTGTCTATGGAAGTTTGGAGTATGCCCAACCAGATGCTTATCTGAAGGCAATGTCTCCTTCTCTCCCAAATCCATCAGAAGTCAGTAGCACTGCAGAGTGGAGTCGGCCTTCCTGAGCTCCCCTCCCAACCATGGTGTGCTGGTGATAGGGCCAGTCTTGTGCAGGCCCAGTCTAGGAAGCCGTAGCAACTATAAGTTCAGGTTGCAGTGTCTGTGCCACACCTTAAAGAGGAGTATTTCATGGCTGCTCTGTCTTCTGGCTCCCTCTCTTCCTTCAAGAGATTCTCTGAGCAGTAGAGGGGATATGTAAATGATAAACTTTCAAACTAATAATAGTTGGTTAAATTGTTAAGCCAAAGGTGTTGGTGGTGACTCAGAGAGGAAGGGAATGAGGGAGGGAATGAGAGAGGGAGGGAGGGAGGGAGGGAGGGAGGGAGAGAGAGAACACTAGCCTGAAAGAGTTTTCACTGTAGTCCACTGTGCCATGTGAAGGTCGTCATAGGGATTTGGAATATTATGGGTTAATAATAAGAAGCAGTTTCCTGAGCACTGCATAGGGGAGATTATCCATTTTGTAGCAAACTTGGAGCCCTAAAAACAGTAAAGGGAGCTCCATTGTCTCCTCTTGGAACATAGACAAGTGCTTGCCCATTTAAGTCTTAGAGGAGCTGTCTTAGTCAGATGATTTGTATATTTAAATAATAGAAATATTGGAGGTGTTTTAGCATTTTTGACACCATTTAGTTGTTGAAGTTTTGGTTCATGGGCGGGAATATATTTTTACTGGAGTTGATGATTGTATCTTTCCCAGGGCTTTAATATAACTATATTAGTTACATCTAGGGTTTTAAAGATTGTTTAAAAATTATGCTAGGCCTAAAATAACCCACTGAAAGCTTCTGTTTAAATAGACAAAAATATCAGGCAGATTCAAAAAAAAAAAGACTGCTTTTCAACTAAGGGAAATTTCAAAGTCAACACATTAAAGATTCTTTTTAAAAGGAAGACATACAGGGCCAATACCCTTAACACAGTTTTCTCAGCCCTGTGCTAGCATTCCCCAGCAGGGCAATTTTCACTTGTTCGCTTTGAAGCCAGGGCATAGTTGAGTATCAGAAGAGAACTAATGGTGTGAGGTCTGGGTTTGCAGTTTCCTGTGTCTGAACTGACTTTCTCTCCAAAGACAGGCAGTATACTCTGTTGCTCTAAATCTTACAGATCAGCATTGTTCGTGTTTCCTGACTCCAAAATAGCTAGTACCCCATGCACCGCAGCTACTTAGTGTGTAAGTGAACACTGTACGGTTTATCAAGTTAGAGGCATATGCTGTTTGATTTCTGCTGGCAATGAAACCAGGGTTAGGCCTATCTTCCCATGCTGATGTTAGAGGATCATTTATGTCCCAAGATTAATAATATTACCCTGAAGGAATCAAAAGTAATTCTTGCAGTAGCTTGAGACCAGGAGACCCCATCCTTCCAAAATCTACATCTCTTCTTCCCTACCCAGATGCCCTGTTCATCTGTAGTCAGCACACTGGTTTAGTGTGGCTGCAACAGACCCTTAAAGTTTATAGACATAGGTTCCCGTCTTTTAGCTTTGCTAAAAATAAAGGTATTGGACCTACCTGAAGGCCAGAGGGGCTGCTTATCCCTCTCTGAATCCCTGCGGCTATGCCAGGAATTAAGGTCGGACTTGGGGAAGAGTCAGTGACTGTTTAGTTTGACTGTGGCAAGCTGAAGGCTGAAGGGTAGAGTGTTTGTGTGCCTACAGATGTTCCAGTGAACGGTGGTGTAACGGGAGTAACTGACTGTGACCCCCACCCCCAACCCTTTGGTGCTTGAAAAAGAGAGATATCCACCAGGGTGTTACCCTCAAGCTTAACCATTTCATTACTGACATACTGAAAATATAAGACCTGAGTCACCAGTCAATTGTAAAGACAAAATCTAACTGAAACTTAATTTATTAAAATTAAGAACATTTTAGAAAAACAGAAAGTAGCTTGGTTTAAACTAACACTCTAGTGAATCAAATGAGACATGATCTGTTCTGAAGCCAGGCTCAGAATGTCTCTTCTGTGACCCAGTTTTCTTTAGTGTGGACTAAGAAACTCTAATTTCTGAGGTGGTTGTGGTGTAATGTCCAGTGTGATGTTTGGGAGAAAGGATTTATTGTTTCACCGAGTGGAGTCATCTTAACCCTCAACACCTGCTTACCTCACGTGATTGTTGAAGAAATTTATGAATGGTCCTCAGTCAGGACGGCATGGCGACTTCATATGGCGTTTGCAAGTTTGGTCGTTGCGTAGGATTTCATTGTGTAGAAGCATTTAAGAAAGCACTGCTCTGTTTTGTCCTATAATCCGCCTCCGCGAGGCTGAGATGACCACAGTGACTAGGGTGGACAGATCTGGTAGGGTCTTTGCTTCCATCTCTCACAATAGAGTGACCTTTATGAACTTCAATTTTCTTATCTCTAAAACAAGGATCCGAGTGTTCCTGGACAGCCCATGCGTGGGAAAGAGGGTTTGCACAACAAATCTTGTTTCTGAGGGTGAGTGATGTTATGGGTTCCTTTGTATAAACAGCTACTTAATTTGATTTTATTTGGAAAATGTTAAGATCTGTTTTCAGGGTCGACTTTTTTTTTTTCTAATACATGTGGAGCTCAATTCCCTGGTTGATTCTTCTCATCTGAAAATGCTGGTCAGTTCTTTAAATGTCAGTGTCTAGTTATTTCCATGATGATTTTTGTTTGTCTGGAAAAGGGCAGTTGGCTGTTTTCCTATTCATACCACTGTGTGATGGTTGTGATGTCTGAAATCACAGCCGTGCTGGCAGCATTCATAAAGCTGGTGTCCTAGCTGTCCTGCAGTTCTTAATAAACGGAACTCATTTAATCTTAATGTAGCTCTGGTGAGGGTTTTAGCCTTTAGGTTTTAATAACATCATGAACCTGGCGTTTTTTTACTTAGTTTTTGAATAGGTTTTTTATCTCTGGAGGTGGCCGGAGACTAGAGCAATAATCCTCTCTTGGCCATGGTTCCACTTTCCCTGTATGTCTGTCTGTTATGTGGAGGCAGATTGTGGTCTTCTGGGATCTAAAGATATTAAACAGAAAGTCCCAGACATGAGCAAATTATAGATTTTAAGCTGTATAATGCCCTGAATAGCATAGTGATGTTTGGTAACTTTCTTCTGCATCCTGCCTGGCACCTGAGGCATCCCTTTGTCCCGTGTGTTCACACAGTATAAGCTACCCTCCTGTTATTCACTCAGTAGCCTCTTTTGTTAACTGACCACATGGAAGTGTTCAAGTAACCCTTGTTTGTGTTTAACTGCGACCCCAAAGCATAAGGGTCAGGTGAAACTGGAAATTTGGATATGACAAAGAAAAACTGTAAAGTGCTGTCTTTAGTGAGCCTCTCTATCACCAGAAGAGGAAGGTGATCATACATACACAGACTTTAAAATGGCACAGAGCTAGGTCTCTTCTGCTGTGTGTTTTTAAAAGCTCACTTACTTTGCCTAATTCGTAAGTTAAACTTTATTGTAAGTATGGATAGGAAAACATAGTCGGATGCACCTGCAGTTTCAGGCATCCCCTGGAGGGTTTTGAACATAGACTTTCGATTAAGGGGCACTAGTGACTTAAATCCATGTTCAGTCATGTGATGGATTAGGAACAAACAAGCCAATAAAAAAACAAACCAAAGCAAAAAACCCCAAACCCTTCCAAATGTAGACCTTGCACGTAAGCAGCAAGTATTACAGTAGGATGAAGTGGCAGTGTTTTTACATTTGTGTGCGCATGTGATGGCATGCGCGTGTGCATGTGATGGCATGTGTTGGCATGTGTGTGCACATATGATGCATGTGTGCACATGTGATGGCGTGTGTGCGCGTGTGATGGCATATGTGTGTGCATGTGATGGCATGTGTGTGGAGGTCAGGATAATCTGGGGAATTGCTTTTCTCCTGTCACATGGGTTCCAAGGATTGACCTCAGGTTGTCAGGCTTGGCAGCAAGTGCCCTTCCCTGCTAAGCCATCTTGCCAATCTGTGGCAACCATTTTTGATCTTGATTGCCAGTGAACACACCTTTTATTTTTCTCACATTGAACTTTTCTTCACAGTTCTTTGATGTTCATCAGGAAATCACAATCGTAGGTTACTTAGTCCATTTTAAAACCTCGAGGCAGAACCAGATTCCAACTCTTACTGAAATATATTGATTTATCCTTCTTAAATCAAAAAAAGAGTGGAGAACTAAAGAATACCAGCCAACTTAATTACAGAATAAAAATAACTTTATTTCATGGGAGAGATAAAAGCCTTAATAATACGATAGAATGACATTGTAATTGAACAGCCAAGGAAGCATAATTGGAAAAAAAAAGAGATGAAAGACAGCTTCAAGTCCAGTGCCTTTGTTTTCATATCCAAGCTACTTAAGGACAGAAAGTTAACTAACTGTCCAAGGGTAGCGACTGCAGGGTTTGTGTGCTGGTGAGCTGGGGGAAGGCCGAGGAGGAACACCAAACTAGACTCTCAACTTTGCTCCTTTTAGGCTGGTCCACCTCTGCTCTAAGTGGAAGAGCAGCTTCATGGTAACAGGGAGCAAGGCTAGTGGCATTTTCTCATAGCACTGAGATAGGCTTGGATGTTCTATATCGAGTAATGAGGCACCGGTGCTTAGGGAAGCAATAGAAACAGGCAAGTTTGACTTGTCCTGTGAATTGCAAATTAGAGCCGCGTTTGAAACTGACAAAGGAGAAAAGAGGAAGGAAACGGAAGTAGAAAAGGATGCGATCTGCAGTTAGGGTGATGGGCTGTCAAGAGCAGGGCATGTCAAATGATTTGCCACTTTTTATTTAAAGCAGTTAAGTAAGGCCCCCCTGAGCAGGGGTCTAGTATTTTCCTCTAGAAGTTCCCTTCTCTGTGATTCAGTGTGAGATCATTGCTTTAAAATAAAGTGGCAAAAATCGACAGAGTTTTGTAATGTGCTAGAAAAAAAATCATAAAACAATTCATTTTTAGAGAAAGAGGCATTTGTGGTATTTTATCTAGCTAGAGACTGTGTTGGCAAAGGCAGTTTGTATGCGTGCACCAGTGCGCTCGGTTGTGTACATGTTGGCAAAGTTGCAAATGGAAGCATTGCGCTCTTTCTTAAAGCCCATTTGTTATTCCAGTCATAGGAGTCCGAATTAAAAATAGCTCAAATGCACGTCTCAAAAATCTTATTTCTTTTAAGAGAATGCCAAGTGAAAAGGTCAATTTTATTTGCAAGATCTGGCATTTTGAAACACTCAGAAATGTATTCCTGCAGGCCGTGTTGACTTAGTTCCCTGGTCTACACCTGCTCCCGACCAGCTGTGTGATTTTACTTAAAGCTGATGTTCTGCTGTTGCAAAAGGCTGTGCATTGTGCAGCTGACTGGCGGACTCAGGAAAGCCTAAAGAGGGGACAGCTTTAACTAAGCAGGGCATCTCTCTTCAGACTTGTCATACAATTACAGAGGCTATACATGTCAACAGGACATTGCATACCAGTGAACTGGTATTATATTTGAGCTGGAACATCTCTTACTATTGAAACATTGTACAGTGCGGGAGCTATAAAGTGCTGGTACTTCCTCTGGATTAGAAGTTTTACCAGGGGCGCTGAGTAAAAGGATCACAGAACCATACTAGAATCTTCTGTTAAGTCAGGAAGGCAGTTGATGGCATTTCTGAGGTTAGGGCGATGGCTCTGAATATGACTGAGATGTGTGCAGACTTTTCTTGATAAATGCACTGTCTAGAGATCACTAGTTGCTTGCATGAGTGCAGCCAAAGGTAAGGTTAGGGTGTTTTTTTTGTGATTCTACATAGCTGTATATTAAATATGAATTGAGAAAGGTAGGACAGTGAAAAGGTGGCCTTCCTGATTGCAAGAACAGTCCCCTTTGGTGTCTCCTGCAGGTGTACAGTTAATCAACTTTTTAAAAATAAGGACTAAGTGCTCAGCTGTGTGTGCTTTCTTTGTTTCTGTTGACTGGTAACTGTTGTTAAAAATACTTTATATTTAGAAGAGCATATTTTGGGGAGATAAAATTGATTTTATGCAATCTGCTGATGAGCAGAAAGGCTTAATGAATGGTCGCCCCAAGAAGCATTAAGACAGTGGCTTGGGTGGATGAGCAGGAAGAGAAAGCAAACTTTGTAAGCAGAGTGTTTCTGCTTAGGCTTGCTCTTTTGCACACTACTGTTACTCCTACCCCTAAGTGCTCCTGCAGAAGAAAGAAGTCGGCACACCAGTCTCGTCTCCATGTCTTTGGTAGAAGTCTTGCAGTTACTTTTCCATCTTCGAGTCTCTTCAGCTTCAATTGCCTTACCCTTATCTGCTCTTCTAAACCTTTTAATTTAGATTCTATCATAGGATAGATTCATAGGGGGCTGCAAAGAACTGAACAGAGAAGTTCCATGCATCCTTGATTTAGCCTTCTTCAAAGTTAACATCTTGCATAAGTAATATAAATTTTCAGAAATTGATATTGGCATGAGCCAATATATATATTTGGATTTCATTATTTATTCACCCATTTGTGTATATGTGTCTCTGTTATATTGTGTAATTTTCAAATTCACTGCCACCCAGTGATATTCAGCTGCATACCACAGACTTAATTCATCCTTGTTCCCTCCACACCCCTGACCCTAGTAACCATTACTGTGTTCTCTATTTCTACAATTATACACTTTATGAATGGCGTATAAATGGAACAATAGGATATATACATACCTTTTAACCTTGGCTTCACCCAGCACATTTCCTTTGAAGGCTAAGTTGCATGAATCAACAGTTTGTTTTCATCTTAGTGCTGAAGAGTGTTCCTTAGTGTGGCTACATCGCAGTTTGTATAACCAGCACCACTTGAAGGGTGTTTGGATTGTTTTCAGTGTTTGGTTGTTGTGGATAAAGCTGCAGTGAACATTAGTGTACAAGTTCGTGTATGAAAATACGTTTGTATTTTTCCAATAGCTATTGTATCAGTCATCTTTCATGGTTTTAATGTGCTATTTGTGTTTTTTCTTTGACCGAGTGTCCATGCATGTCTTTTGTCCTTTTAAACTGATGTGATGCTGGATTTCAGGAGGAATCTGCATATTCCAGATGCTGCTCTCTTGTTGGATATGTGATTTGTTAATATTTTCTTCCAGTTTTCCTCTACATCTTAATAGGTCTTTGCAGAAGGACATTTTCTGCTTTTAATAAAATTAGTCAGATTTATCTCTTGTGGATCATGCTTTTGGGTTCAAGTCTAAGAATTACTTCTTCCTTGTCATACGACCTGGAGATTTTCTATCTTTCCTGTTTTCTTTATAACATACTCTAGTTTGCCTTGACCTGTTGTTATCCCTCTTTCTTCCTTTACTTTAGCATCCTTTCATTGAGTTTATTGTAGTTTTAAGGTCATCATCAAATGCTTCTTAATAGTCATTCCTGTTAGGAAAATGGGGTCTTGTATAGAATAAGGAACCTTTAAACGTCTATAAGAAGGAACCGGATGTG